TGGACTTTATGAATTTTCTTCAGAGAATTTCTTTAGAAATTAGAGCTGGGAATTTCTTTAGACATTTCTTTAGAAAATAGAGCTGGGAATGCCCTAGGAGCTAATGTATGTGATGGTTGAAGTGGGGTAGGGGGGATGGAGGGAGTGTAGTGGCTGGGAAAGCTTGTCTAGATTGAAAAATAAATGACGTACGTTTGTTAGACCTTTGGCTCAACATCCTGATCCCCCCACCTTTTTTTTTTTTTTCAACTTCTTCTATGCATGTTGTGGAGCGTTGGGTGTGGGATCAACCTTATTCAGTAAATCATTGTGTCACCGGGCTAAGTGCTGGGGAATACTAAAATAAATATGTTATAGTTCCTGTTTTTTAGGGAATTTGTAATTTATTAAGGGCAAGAAATGGAAGAGAGGATGGCACGATGTGGAAGTGGTTATCATAGAGCCATGTACAACATGCTGTGGGTGCAGAGAGTTGGTGGTGCTAATTTGGGAAAAGCTTCACAGGGGAGGTGGCATCCTGGGCTTGCCTGCTGGAGAATGGTAGAAGGAATAATCTTGGCAGACAGACATGAGCCAAGGCAAAGAGACACGGCCTGTGTGGTGTGCTAGGGAAATGGCGGGCGGTTTGAGGTGGTTGGTTATAGTATGAGGTGATGGAACATGAGACTGGGAATGAAGACTGGGCTGAAGAATGACAGGACCTTGACTTTCAGTTTGAACCACTTCGTGTAGGATTCTAAAGCATGATGTGTTCTATCTATTTTAGAAATTTCAGTGTGAAGGGAGGAAGAATTGACTGAAAGCAGATAGTCCCAGAAAGAGAAGGCCTGTTGCATGAATGGAGTGGAGTACATGGATATGATGGAGAATTGAGAGATGAAATCCTTAGCACTTAGTGAATAACAGGAGGCTGGAACTTTGGGGTCAGCCAACTTTTAAGATCTAGGTGGAAGAAACAGAGTCTCTGAGAGAGACGGAGTGGAAGACAAGGGAGGGGATGTATTTCAGCAAGTGTAGCAATGTCAGTGCCTCAGAGGGAACAGCCAGGACAGGACTGAGAAGAGACCATTATAGATAGAGCGATTGAGTCATCGGTAGCCCTTGGGAGAAGTTATGTTCGAGTCCTACAGGAGTAGAGAAAACAGCTGAATGAGTGCTCACCACGTTCAAGCTGTAGCCCATCCCCAAGAGCCTAACTGGCAATTAGATGCATTTGTGTAAGGGAGTATTCACAAACACCGGCTCTCCAGGACCCGGAGTGGAGGTGGGGAGAGGGAAGCTTAGTGATGGTCAGGGCTGAGTTCAAGTGCCCTTGCTCTGCCTTCTGCTTTCTGGGATCTCAGGGAGCCCCCTCCTTGCAAATACCGACTCTAATTGTGCCATTTTGTCTTATTACTGTCAGCAGACTGTAGAAGATACATGCTCATAGGCTTCTTTTCCAATTCCAAACCGATACTCCTTTGTAGCCATGATGCTTATAGTGGTTGCTGTGATGGGTCACCTGGATCTCATCTCTGCACCTGAGGCACTCATTGCCCACCTGCTAGGAGTCTGGGTACCTGGGGATTGTCCCTCGCAGAAGAGTGTCACTTCACACAAGATCAAAACCTCTGGGATGGGGATGGGAGGGGGGACGGGGTGGGGAACAGCCTGCATACAATGACTAGTCAATGGAGGTGGTGTGCAAAGGCCCCCATGCATCAAGGTGGATAATTTTGGGGAGTCACCCCAGCTCCAGAGCTCCTGTGGGATCGGATGAAGTTTTGGTTCTACTGTATCACAGCTGAATGCATTCCTTCTGTTCAGTCCTATCCTTTTTCCTTCACTCCCAGGGTCTTGATTCTGAGGCACACCCCCAATAAACTCCCTCTGTAAATATCAGTGATTTTGAGTTCTGTTTCTTGGGGAACCACTCTGATATGATGCTTGTTTTCTGTTTGGTTGCCTCCTGAAGGTGGGTCACCAATCCAACTGTGGTTACTCTTGCTTTTGAGCTCCTTGGATGCATCCAGCGGCAATACCCCCTCTCCCAGCAGTTGGAACAGAAGTCTCGGCGTTGCACTTCCTTGGTTCTTATTGGCTGAGCCATAGGCCCATTAGTGGACTGTTCAAGGAGAGGAAAGAGCTAGAAGTCAGTCACCTAGCTACTCCTGAGACCAGCCCGTTAAACCTCAGCCCTGAGGATAGGTCCACGAGATGGGGTGGCCCCTGAGCATAGAAACTGGTCCCGTTCTGCATCCTGCTCTTGCGCTCCCCTTCCACCACTGCCACCCCCTGCCCCCTACCCCCTTATGCTTCCTAGGCTCCTTAAAGCAGGTGGTAGTCACTCTCCTGCTTCTCTCTTTCATTCAAATTGTGTTTTTTAGTCAAGGAAAAAAAAAAAAAACGAATGTTGAAAACACAATTGAGATATTTCGAGCAAATGTAGAACCTCTCTCAAAATTTGTTGCAGAAACACCACTGAGCAAACAAACTACTGGGAGCACAGCTTAGAAACAAACAGCAGCTGCCACCATTTGTGGGCTTTTTTTTCCCCCTGTTCCCTCATTTCTTTCTAATTCTGTTTGTAATAGAACTGCTGCTCCAATGGCCTAGCAGTTTCACACACACCATTTTTTCCTTCCCATCCCGAGGGCTCCCAGGTGGTCTTCAGCTAGGAGGCCTCTCTCAGCAGAGCTCTGGGCCCTTACTGTTGCTCCTGTCACACGGTTCCACCTGGAACGTCATCCACCCCGTGCACCCAGTGGGGTGTGGCTGGAGCTTCCAGACTTCTCAGGCTGTGAAGCCCCAGTCCGGTCTGGAGTGTGGTTTTTTGCCCTCCTGGCTGTATAAAAGCAATGGATTATACGGATGACAGTTCTTTCTCAATGACAAAGTGCTTCAGCTGTTGGGTTTTTGCTTTATTTATTTATTTTTTGTTTTCTGTGCAGAATCTTGGAAGGCACACAGCAAAGGGCTTGTGTTGGGCCTGGTTTGCTAAAGACTGTCACTTTATTTATTAGATTTATTTATTCATGGTGGGGAGGGGCAGAGAGAGAGAGAGAGAGAGAGAGAGAGAGAGAGAGAGAGACAAGCAGACTCCCCTAGGAGTGAGGAGCCTGACATGGAGCTTGATCCCAGGACCCCCAGTTTGTGACCTGAGCCAAAATCAAGAGTTGGATGGTTAACCAACTGAGCCACGCAGGGACCCTAAAAGACTAACTTTAAAGGGCTCTTACCTGTCACATTGACCTCATTTGTCTCCTTCCCCACGAATGGCAGCCTTGAAGCAACCCTTTGCCCTTTAAATGCTGCTGGTGATGGGTCGTTCCTCCGCTTAAACTTGATGGCCATTAGACACGAGCGGGTTGCCTGCTATATGCAGGGTGTGGTGCTAGGCCCTCACTCCCTCTTCATCAGAGCTCTGCAAGGCAGGCGTCATCTCCACTTTATCTGCCCAGAGACTAGTTGCTTTCCCAGGGTGACCTGCCATCACGCAGCCAGTCGAGGGAAAGCTGGTGTTGGGCCCAGGTCTGTCTGAATCCAAAGCCCAGGCTTTCTTTCCCTCTCCTGCCTTTCGGTCACCCTCACAATATATGGCGGTGCTCTCAGGAAACTGTTGCTTCCTTTACAGTTTTTTTCATTTATCCTTCCCTCAGAATATATATATATATATATATATATATATATATATATATATATATATATAAAGTGAGTTAGTGCCTAACATTTAAAAACTAGGACATCTTGGGCACCTGGGTGGCTCAGTCAGTTAAGTGTCTGCCTTGGGCTCAGGTCGTGATCTCAGGGTCCTGAAATCGAGCCCTGCTTCGGGCTCCCTGCTCTGTGGGGGGCTTGCATCTCCCTCCCCCTCTGCCTGCAGCTTCCCCTGCTTGTGCACTCTCTCTCTCTCTCTGTCAAATAAATAAATAAAATCTTAAAAAAAATTAGGACATCTTGGAAACAAAACAAAATGAAAAACTTTAGACCTGGCAATATTGTGCTCATAGGTTGACATAAAAACTGAGTCCAGCTCCGTGACCCCCCACCCCCAACCCCCGCAGGGAGATATGGCTTCTTCAGGTTGCCACAGACCCCAGCTGGCCCCCTTCACTCTTTGACAGTCACTCGCCTCACCTCTGTGGACATTTAAGTGTGTGATTCTTCATTTAGGCCCTTAACAAAACAATTTCTGTCCTGTTGATGGATCAGTAGAGGTCAGAGTCAGTTTATGCTTCTGTGTTGAATTTTACAGGCTTTGATATTTTTTTTCAAATTTTGGGGATAATAATTCAGTAACAAATAACAGCAATTACTGGACATTTATCAAGTACCCTCACATTTAGCTGACTCTGAGGGTTGGCGGACACCTGTTTGGTGGTCAGGACTTGCAGAAATCTCCAATTCAGTTTGTGTTCAAAATCCTGCAGGTACTCTTCAGGTACTGCAGGATCTGGAGACCATCCACAGGAACATATTTTGCAGGGACGGTGTTGTAGAGAGGAGGAGGTGAAGCCAAAGAAAAATGGGAAGAAGCAGCTACGTTGACTGTATTGGCCCTTGGGAACTGTTAACTACCTTATGTACGAGTGCCCATGACAGAGAAACACCCCTTTCTTGACTGTGTTCAACACAATGGGCAGCTCAGAAGCTTCAAAGAGAAAGATCTGAGAAATTAGAATCCCTCTCAGGATGATGGGTCTTTCATTGTATCCCGATGTGCCTGCAAATGTATTTCCATTTGGCAGCAAGAAATGTGTTCATTCTTTTTTATTGTTTGGGGGAAGTCAGGTCTCCTTTTGTCTGTTTTAAACACATCTCATTGAAATGTAAAATGGAAACAGAGTGGGTTTTGACTAGTGTCATGGCTGCGGCTGTCTTAAATCGTAATAGTAATCAATAATAACATACGAGAACCCCCAACGGTGAAGTTATTTATTTGCTTATTTTAAATATTTGCTTTTGATTAAGACAATGCCTGGAATATTGTTTTGAATTTTTGTTTGTTTATGTTCCTTTAGGACCCTGCAGGGATCTTTGAATTGGTGGAACTTGTTGGAAATGGAACATATGGACAAGTTTATAAGGTAAGCTCATTGAGTTTGAACGTGGCTTCTCTCTGGTTTTTGATTCATGAATGCTAAATAGCAGTGCCGTCTATTCTTGCTCATGTATGCCTTGTAAGAGATTTAAAACAAAATAATATGCTTGTTAATTGACTCTTCATCTTTTAAAATATATCTGTAGTCCCATTGCCTAAACGGGGTTCACCCTCAGTTGTATATTATAATGTCTCCATCTGACACATGAATTCCAATGCTGCATATTTGAGGCTCTTTAAGTATCCAATTTCCTTTATTTTAACGCTGCCAGAATTGGTTTTCAAAGGACTAACGGATGCCTTTTACTTTAGAAATTTAACCTATTAAAGTATTGCAGCCGGAAAAGTAGATTTGTCATTGGCCCAGGTCATGAATTAAACTGAGCTTAGTGAACAGTATTAGGAGAAAACTGGCTACCTCACAAAGCAAAGGCCTAATGGCAGCAATGACTTTTAGAAGATAGAAAATAAGTAAAAGTTAAACTTGAGGAATAGGAAGTACTTTTTTCGTCCTTTTACTAATTTTTGCTTATAAGTTCTCTCAAAAGTGCTTTTAAAAGATATTGCCCCCCAGTAAAAGATCTTACAAAAATGTGGGTTGATATCCCTTCTGATTTTCAAAAAGAAATGGAGATGAACTGTTTTTGGATTAAAATTCAGGGGGTTTTAGTAAATGAGCTATTGAAATAAATGCCTTCAAAACAAACCAATTCTTTTCTCATGATTGTTTCTAAGGAGATATCCATCATTTTCTTGAGTGGTAGTGAGATGGGATGGTGATTTCATTACAAATGATCTCTTTTTGCTGTTCTGTTTTGAAAAGTTCCTTCTCTGATCTCTAAACTTCTCTTAGTGATTAGAACTACTCTAGAAGTCATCCGTATTGTAATATTTCCAATTTTACAGAATGTCAAAAGTACACACACACACGTATACACATGCGCGCACACACACACATGATATTCTTGAGAATCTGAACACCATTGTAAACAGATGCATTTAAACCTTCCTTATTGAGAGGTACCCTTTGGTGTCCACCCAGGGGAAAATTTCTCCCTTGCAAGAAATGATTATTTCTTAAAATGTCAACCCCTTGCAATTAGACAGAATGTAGTCCACCCAAGCTGTTCACTTGATGTTGATCCTGTCTGACACAGGAAAGAAATGTGTCTCAGCAATGCTTTTAAATACTGTCAATGAAGATAATTAGGTTGGAAGATTGTATTATTGCATTTTGAGAAATTGGATTGAACCTGTGAATTAATGTGGGCTAATGAATTAAGCTCTGATTTAGGTAGAAAATTACTTCTCATTTGCTGACAGTATGGAGTTGCAACTCTGTTGCATGCTCTTGGTGTTATGGTGCCATTGCTTAGAACCATTCCGTTGTACCATGCTTCCCACCTGTAGAAAATGCATTTAGGGCACAGTTCACAGCTTTGTCTACTAATCTAAGAGGTAGACTACACTCTTGGCAAGAGAAGACAACAAAGAGATTAAGTTAAGGATGAGAATGTTTGGAAAATTCAGAATTATTCCTAATTTCTTATTACCTGGCTGGGGGTGGAGAGGGGAGGAAACAAGTATCAAGAGGTGTCAGATCTTTTTAGAAAGGGAAGGTAGTTACCAACTATATATTTTTAAAGATTTTATCTATTTATTCTATTTTGTCTATGAGACACAGAGATAGAGACAGAGACGTAGGCAGAGAGTTTGAGTCCATGCTGGGCATGGAGCCTACTTAAAATAAATGAATAAAGGAAGGAAGGAAGGAAAAGGAAAGGAAAGGAAGGAAGGAGCCATTATTTAGTGATGATTGATACAAAACTTTGGCACCACTCAAGCTGAAGGGAGACTGCGAACACATTGGGAAGTGGGACAGAAGACCTGGTCTCTTTCACCAGCCCTAAGTATTGTTTTGTGGCATTGCAGCTTTTCTGTGCATTAGTCAAGTGAGAATATAATTAGAAATGCTTTGGGGACTTGTAATGATATAATTGAAGAATTAAAACTCCCTAGTCATTTAAGGGGTTGGTTTCTAGGCCAGTCAGATGATATTAAGTGGCACCTGCTTATGTATGCAGATACCTGGGTTTCCTGAGCCACTAATCCAGTCCTTTTGTCACCCTGAGTTCAGAAGAATTAAAGCTTAATAAAATAGCAAAATCAGAGGCGCCTGGGTGGCTCAGTCCATTAAGCATCTGACTCTTGTTTTCAGCTCAGGTCATAATCTTAGGGTCCTGGGAGTGAGCCCTGAATCTGGCTCTGTGCTCAGTGGAGAGTCTGCTTGAGATTCTTTCCCTCCCTCTCCCTCTGCCCCTTTCCCACTCTCTCTCAAATAAATAAATAAGTCTTTGAAGATAAAATAGCAAAATCAAATATATGTGAACCTAAGGAGAAATAAGCTGCAAAACGATTGTTCACATTATAGATTATATTTACCTTTTATGAAATAGGTGTATTTCTAAAATACTGCAGGCATAAGCAGAAATTTTATAGCCCTAAGAAGAGATTCTTCCACAAAAAATTTTACGACAAATTCTTTCTTTATACTAAGTATTAAAACTTTGATTTCATTTTTTTTTTTTTTATAAATCCAGCTTTTGGTGTTCTTGGATTTCATAAAATGAGGTAAAATTTTTTTGTGCAATTATATAGACATTATCTTTATTTTATGGAAAGATTCATTATAAGGTTGTTTTTATAAGTTATCCTAAAAGGGTAATGATATGATTTTATTTACAAGTAGCTCTTAAGAACCTATTTAATACAATAAATAAAAATGTGCACAAAAACTGTAGGTAGTAAGAGAATATTTTCTGCAGTTTATTTGAATATGAGCCACATACATCTGGATGTGGAAATATAAATATTTTATATAAAGGTCATAGTAATGTTTAGCTTTTCAAAGTTATTTCTAGTCTTTCTCCCAAGTATGGCTTGGGCTCTCTGTCCTTGGAAGACTAGATTTATCTTTAGCATTTTGGTCCCAGGTGATCAGGTGGCAACTCAGTATTTTTTTTACTTTATTTATTGGTCTGACTCCATAAATAATAGAGTAGTGATTCTCTGTCAGGACTTTTATTGACGAAATCATCTGCCTGGGCCCATGGCTCCCATTAAAAACCAAATCAACAAAAGCCACATACCTATTTATGAAAGGTTTTGGCTGTTCTCTGGCATGCTGCATATTGAGAGCTAATGGAATTCAGATACGTTTCTGTTAAAATAAAATAATTATTTTAATAGGTTGAGATAATTGTTTAATGTTTACTGCTAAAACACCACTAAATCTTAGCCACAGATTTCAAAAATGAATGTTAGTCTCTCCTGTTTCTTAATTTGCCCTTTTGGAATATATGTTGGTTATTACAGAGATGGGGACCTGTTTTATTCCAGATGATCTTGGAATAAAATATGTGTGAATTAGAAATACGATAGAGTCCTCGGTATCTCTCAGGCTTTTCTGAAAACCTCCTTAAGGTTATACAGCATGAACTAAAGAGGCCACCTTGGATGTTACAGTGCATGGGTGAGAGAGCACTGTGAGTGAGCGAGTGACTCCGTGTGCTTTCAAAGGAGTGCAGAGGTCCTTGCAGGTCATCTAATCTAATCATTCCTCTGCCAAATGTCTGTTCAGCCCAACCTTGATCCCTTCTGGTCATGTAGAACTCACTACCTCCCAGTCAGTCCATTTTCCTGCAGCTGTCTTTGAATGTTCATTATCATTTTGAGCCAAGAGTCTGGCTTCCTAAGATGTTTACCATTTCAAGCTCATTCCATACCCTCAGAGCTATTTTAAAAAGTAAAATAAAATCTTCTTTCACAAGGATACATTCCTTCAGATATTTGAAGAAGACTTCTCCTTTCTTCCCCCAAACACATACTTGTATCTCATTTTTCAAAAAGATTTATTTATTTATTTATTTGAAAGAGAGAGAGAGGGTGCATGCAAGCATGCAGCAAGGAAGGGGAGAGAAGAGAGAGAGAGAGAGAGAGAGAGAGAATCCTCAAGCAGACTCACCACCAAGTGGGGAAACTGTTGCAGGGCTGGACCCCATGACCCATTTGGTCATGATCTGAGCTGACATCAAGAGTTGGATGCTTATTAAACTGAGTCATCCAGATGCTCCTAAAAATAACTTTTTAATTTTAAATAGTTTGCTATTTTGCAGGACATTTTGTATATGTGATCTGATTTCTGATTTAATTCCTATAATACTTTCATAAAACCTTTTTCTCAACCTGAGGTCCTTATAGCCATGGTTTCCTCTGTCTAGAACACTTTCCCCCAACCCTCTCATGACTGGCTTCTTTTCCTTCAGGTCTCGGTTCAAATGTTACCTCCTCAGGGAAACCACTTTTCATCCTAGTGTCTAATACAGATACCCACTACCTCTGCCTCCTTCCCCCACAGACTATATCACATCACCTTGTCTTTATTGTCTTCATGGCATTGCCACTATCCGAAATCATCTTACTACCTTCTTCGAGTATATAGTAAACAATTTAAATGCATAAATAAAGGAAGAATAAGGGTAGAGACCTACTTTGTCTAGCCACCATTGTATCCCTAGTCTGGCACATAGTAGTTGTTGATGATGATGAGGCCTAGAATTGAGCTTTGTTTTCCTGGATAATTCTTTTTATATTCATTTCCAGTCTTTCAGCATTTCTCATACAATAGTAGTCTGTTTACTTCAGAAATGCATATTTACACAAAAGTAATCAACCAAATGCTCTGCTTATATTTTATTGTGGGATATGGATGTGGATTTTATGTTTAAATGAATTGTTGATAGTCTATAGAAGCCAGATCCATTTTGGACATTTACAAAATGAGACAAATCCATTTTCTGGGGGTTCAGTCTCCTGGCAGAGGTTCTCAAACTCTAATGTGCAAAACAAATATTTGGAAAATTATTAAAAATACAGATTTCTAGGATCAATATCTGAAATATTGGTTCAGTAGGTCTGGGGTGGGGT